AGGTGTTATATGGAAACCAACCTGACAACATAGCATTTTTTAAAAAAGAAATTTGAGTTGTGCTGCAATTTGTTGTGTGTGAGGGATCTGCCATTTGCTTTCTGTTCCTGTGCTCACCATAGGGAGTGGACTTCAGCGAAATGTATCAATATTTGTACCAACTTAGAACTTTACTCTTGGGTCATCCCAAGACCATGATGTAGTCCAAAATATCTCTACTACTTTTCTCTTGGCAGAATCTGTAACATGATAATTTTAGCAATTGTTTTTGCAAAAGTAGTGAAAAAAAATAAAGAGCATACACACAGGGTCTCTTTAAAGAATTTATAATAAATGTTGGATAGTTAGTGTTCTTATTATGGTCAGAAATGCATCTCCTGTATAAAGAAAAACTTGAAATCAGTGATGAGCCAGAGCTGAAAGTAATGGACTCATTCACACAGCTGGAATGAGTGTGCAGAATTGTTGGAATTATGTGTCTTCTATCAGGAAGAAACATTAAAACAAAGTGACACAAATATTCATCATTTATGATCCATTGTTCAGTATTTGGTGCATGAATACTATATACCTTTCTTTTATATGAAGATGACAAAATCTCCCCATTATCCATACAGTAAGAATTTTGAGTTAAGAACATCTTGGGGCATCTGGGTGGCTCAGTCGATTAAGCCCCTGACTTTGGCTCAGGTCATGATCTCCTAGTTCATGGGTTCGAGCACCGCGTCAGGCTGTGTGCTGACAGCTCAGAGCCTGGAGCTTGCTTCAGATTCTGTGTCTCCCTATCTGTCTCTGCCTTCCTGTCCCTCCTCCTTATACTCTGTCTCTCAAAAATAAATTAAAAAAAAAAAAAAAAGAAGAACATCTTATCTGGTTTTTCTTTTAACCAGTACAATAAATTTGCATAGCAGTACAAAAGGCCAAATTTTTTTCATTTTTAAAGTCACACTACATTTTATGTTATTTTAAGATACCAAGTACATGTTCTTGCTTTATACATAGTAGGTGTTTAATAAGTAATGCTGCTAAATGAAATTGGGTTGTAAGGTGGATCCCACTATAGCTACATTGAGATACTGATTTAGTATTAATGTTTGGAGGCCTATGAATTTCAAAAGATCAGAACCTGTTACATGAAAGTTAGATGAGAGATATAAGTGAGATTTTCTTTTGGTTGATCAAGTTGCCTGAATTTTTGTTTTAAATTTGTCCCAAGTGTTTACCTTAAAAACAACAGCATTCCCACAAAGTCCTTGTTTGATATGTACCAGGTGATCAGAGAAGAGCTCTGGAAGTCATTAATAAACTACCCTTGATTTCTGCTTAAGCTATTTCAGTGAAGGTTGATATTTAAACACACTGAAGACCATTAAAATAAAAACAATAAAATCAAAGTGGAAAGGATCCTTTTGGGATAACTGAGGAAATGAAGAATATTACATTTTTCAGCTTAGTTCAAATTCTCTAAAATTAACTATTCTTTATTGTTTATAAAAGACAAGAAAAATGAAGGGTTCTTAACCATAGTGTGGGAAATACAAAAATTCTGTATAATCTTGAAAAAAACGACTTAAAAGAATCACATAAACTGAGTATACATAAACCAAGTAATGAATATTAGATTACTAAGGAAAATTTTGAACATTTCAGAGACTGGGTTTTTGTCTTATTATAAAAGAATGCATATATATTTCTGATCATGTTAGCTATATTAGGATTCATGAGATCCCATTAATGGTTTAACCTGATTGACACTATGTTGAATTCAATGCATGCTTTTTCTTCTTTTCAAATTCTAGAGATGGAATTGAGGTTGTAGTAAAATTCTTACATCTTTGAAACGTTGTCACTTTAAAAATTAATGATGGACATAGGAGCAGGGGAAAAAAAGAGAGGGAAGCAAACCAAAAGAGACTCTTAACTATAGAGAACAAAAGATTGATGCAGGGAGATGGGTGGGAGATGGACTAAATGGGTGATGGATATTAAGGAGGCCACTTGTGATGAGCACTGGGAGTTGTATGTGATGAATAACTAAATTCTACACCTGAAACAAATTTTACTGTATATCTTAACTAACTAGAACTTAAATAAAAACTTGAAAAAAAAAGAAAAAGAAAATGAAATATTATAGTTTCTTTTATTGGCTCACATATATTTCAGATGACAAAAATATTTCTGATGAGGCCTAATATCCAAAATATATAAAGAAACCATAAAATTCAATAGAAAAAAGTCTGATTAAAACATGGACAGAGAATATGACTAAACATTTTCCCAAAGAAGACATAAAAATGGCTAACAAGTACATGGAAAGATGTTCAATATCACTATCATCAGGGAAATGTAAATAAACATCATAATGAACTATTAACCTCATACCTATTGGAATGGCTATTATAAAAAAACTAATAAGAAATAAGTGTTGGAAAGGATGTATAGAGAAAAGGGAACACTTGTTCTCTGTTAGTAGGAATGTAAATTGGTGTAGGTGCAATGGAAAGCAATATCGATTTTCCTAAAGAAATTAAAAATAGAATTACCATATTATCCAGCCATTCTGCTTCTGGGAATATATCCAAAGGAAATGAAAACACTAACTGAAAAGGTATCTGCACCAACGTGTTCATAGCGGCATTATTTATAATAGCCAAGACATGGCAATAATTTAAGTGCCCACTAGCAGATGAATGGATAAAGAAAATGTGATATTGATTTATCAATTGATTAATTGATCCATCAATAGATAGCTATATATAATGGAATATTACTCAGCCATAAAAAAGGATGAAATCTTGTCATTTGTGACAATATGAATGGACCTTGAGGGAATTACACTAAGTGAGATAAGTCAGACAGAGAAAGATAAATATCATATGACCTCTCTTATATGTATAATCTAAGGAAAAACAACAAGCTAATGGATACAGAGAACAGATTAGTTGTTGACAGAGGTAGGGGGTGGCTGTGGGTGAATGGGTAAAAGGAGTCAAAAGGTACACATTTCCAGTTATAAAATAGTAAGTCTTAGGGATATAATATACAACATGGTGACTATAGTTAATAATACTGTAGCTGAAAGTTATTAAAAGAATATACCTTAAAAGTTCTCATCACAAGATAAAACATTTATAACTATGATGGTGATAGATATTAACTAGACTTACTGTGGTGATCATTCTGCAGTACAGTATACAAATATTGAATGATTACATTGTACACCTGAAACTAATATAATGTTATTTGTCAATTATACCTCAATAAAAAAGAAAATAAATACAATAATTTTATACATGGATCTGTGACATAATCTAATTGATAAGACTTATAGATAATGTTTATGTTAAAAATATAATGTCTTTGGACCTATAACTCTAGATTTTATTTTAATTTTTTAACTGGGCATACAGCTCTAGATTTTAAATATTTTCTCTCAACATACTGGAAATATTCTCCTATATTCTGGCTTCTGTTGGTGCTTTTGAAAAGTGAACACTTTGGCTAAGTGTTAGTAGGGGGTAGGTAGGTATCCTGGAAGCTTTGAATCTAGTTGTTGAAGAATGGGGTGTTTGAAATCAGGATTTTTGATGTATCATCAATTCTGATGAGGACAATGTATAGACTATACCTCTGAGAATGGATGATTGCAGAACAATGGATGAATAGATCCTCATTTTAATGTTCAGAAAGCTATTATATATTTACCCAGGTAGTGAATGAGATATAGTCTTAGAGAACCCTAAACTTTTGAAAGGAATTTTATCCTATACTTTGAGTAGTCCTGGCCCAAATAACCTATACTCCATTTCAATATCAAATTTTGTTTTTAATCGACTTTATTAGTAAACTGGAGCCAAATAACCATAAATATTTGACTGATGGTTGACGTGATATTATATTGCCCATTAAGCCTTGGTGTATAAGTATAACAAAGACATTCATTGCTAAATAGCAATGGAAATAAATTTCTGACCTGAAATAAATGGCTTGGGAATGTGGTAGAAATGTTGCCCTCATGAAGAAAGTATCTTAATCTCTGGCCCTCCATTTTTTCCCTAAATCTTTTAAAATTCTGGATGGCATAATCTTGTTATTTCTTCCCTAATTACTTCCCATCCACAAATATAGTTTTTTCACAGCCTCCTTTTCTTGTTTCTGGTAATATCTAGTATTAGGAAAATATGTTATTGACTCACTGTCACTAAAGTATATATAATATTTGAATTACACTAGATCATAAGCCAAGGAACCTTTCTGGCATTTAAGAAATAAACCATTTTTATTAGTATGGCCATTTGAATAATATGAAATAACATGTCAGTTGTCACCTGCTATATAAGTGAGTAAAGTGGAATAACAATGATCCAAAAAAAAATTCAGAAATATATTGTTCATGTATATTATATGTAAGTACATATATTTTATGTATATTGATAAATACACATGCTTTAAGAAAATCTTTGAAAGTGAAAGAAATTAATAGGTAATAAATTAGAGAACCACAATAGCCCCATTTATGAATTTGAATTTGATGTATTATTTTTGAATTTAATAAAGACTTTATATCTCATGGGGCTCCTGGGTGGCTTAGTCGGTTAAGCGTCTGACTTTCGCTTAGGTCATGATCTCACGGTTCGTGGGTTCGAGCCCTGCGTCGGGCTCTGTGCTGACTGCCAGCTCAGAGCCTGGAGCCTATTTCAGAGTCTGTGTCTCCCTCTCTGACCCTCCCCTGCTCACTCTGTCTCTCTCTCTCTCTCTCTCTCCTAGAAATAAATTTTAAAAATTAAAAAAAAGTCTTTATATCTCAGAAGCTACTGAAGATGATAGAAGAACAAAATTCTTAGAAATTCAAATGCACTAATGAATTATGATACAAACAAATTTTGATCAAATAAATCATTGTAACAGTACACTGATTAATAATTTTGTTAATTGATCTTTATCTAATGTGCATGTATTTATAATTTAACTATTAACCTTTATTTTTTCTTCCCTCCCAGTGTTAAAGAACCCAGTGTGTAAATTATATAGATTTCCGACATCTGACAATAAGTGGATGCGAATCCGGGAGCAGATGTCAGAGAGTATACTTTCTTTTCATATTCCTAAGGAATTGATTTCTCTTCACATAAAAGAAGACTTGTGTAGGTAAGAGAAAATACTTTATGGTTGTCTCTCACATTATTTTTCTTATAAAATATTTTTTCTCAAAGTATGATTATAACACAAAAACCTAGACTTTCACTGCCCAGTATTGGTAGCCATTAGCCCTGTATGGCTGTTAATCATTTGCAATGCTACTAGTCCAATTAAAGATGTTCTTTACATGTAAAATACACACCAGGTTTTGAATTCTTATCATATAAACAAACAAACAAAAGGCTGATTTTGTAGTGAAATATTAAAATTTGGGGTATATGGAAGTTAAATAAAATATTAATTTCACTTGCTTTTTTAACTTTTAAAATATGACTACTAGTAAATTTAAACTTACATACATGACTCTTATTTATGGTTTCTATTATATTTCTATTGTAAGTAACCTGCGCTTTGACCTTGCTAATAATTCTTTTGTCTTTACCTCATCTGTTTATGATTACAATTTCTGTAAGAAATTCCTACTTGGCTCTTTGGACTACTTATCTGTAACAAGGTTTTCAGATATTTGTTGGTCTAAAAATTCTTTTAGATGATTCATAAAGCATGCTATATTGATGGAGAGTGTTTTATAGCAAAATTAAATCTATTGCCATAATAAAACAGAAAGATCTGGGAACTGATTGTTAATAAGAATATCTCTGAGCCATGACAGATCAAACAATTTGTTTTTCTGCCTTATAAACCTCTAGTGACTTCAAAAATGCTGAATACTCCATTATACTAACCACTGCTAAGGGCCTAAATTTCAGAAAATTAGCAAATACTTTTGTAACATTTGTAATTGTTGAAATCATAGCAAAGTGTGAAATGTCTAAAATTTGGATTTCTGGCCTATGTTCACATTATTACATCAAGTAACTTAATAGTAGATACCCTTTTGGTAGATTCTGCAATCGCCAAGGATGTCATATTGATGTAAAACAATGAGCAAACAGTGGACAAAGAAGGTCAAATCTGGCAATATTGACAGTATATTTTAGATTAGGAATGACCACACAAACACTATATTTATATGTGAGGAGTAAGTAAAAGAAAAAATACAGAGCCAAGATTTTAGAGAAAATCAGACAGAAAATTTGGTTGTAAGCAAACAACCATGGATTTAGGGAAATAAATATTGAAAAAGGGACAAGAAGATATATATATTTGATAGTAGCAGAGTGAAGATAATCAGACCACAAAAATCCAACAACAGGTATTGACTTGGGGCAAGAGAAGCTGTAACTTGTTCAGGTACCTAAGCAGACTACTTATAAGAGCCAGCTGCAAGAATGAGTTAATTAATGTAAGCCAAATTATTCAATATTATCCTTTTGTATAGCTAGTACTAAGAGTATGTAATGAAAAAAACCCCAAGTTCCTAGGAAGGATAAGCAAGTTTATAGTTTGGATACATGAATAAAAGAATATTCATCCTCAGCATTGTTGTATTCTAGATTATGACCACTAAGAATTATTCCTACTAGTGTCATGTAAAGATCACATTCCATATGGAAGTTTTGTAGAGAATAACTGGTCTTCACTGGGATTATAGAGCAAGGAAAGACTCCATAGACAAGCATGAGTTAGAGGTCATAGCACATTTATTTCAGCTGAGAACCACAGAAGAGGGGTTGCCAGAGGTGGCAGATTTAAAAAGGTAGAGTTGGCCTTTCCCTTAAAAATGACCCCTGAAAGCCCCATCTAAGTTAGCCAGTCCTAAATTCCCACTAAAATGTCTGTACCAAGCCAGTTCCTTCTGGCCTGTAAGGTTTCTGTTAAAAAATCTGCTGATAGCCTGATGGAATTTCCTTTGTATGTAACTGTTTCCTTTTCTCTGGATACTTTTAAAATTCTTTTTTTATCACTGCTTTTTGCCATTTTAATTATTATGTGTCTTGGTGATGACCTCCTTGGGTTGATTTTGTTGATTCTGTGCCTCCTGGATCTGGGTTTTATTTCCTTCCTCAAATTCAGAAAATTTTCAGCTATCATTTCTTCAAATAATTTTTCTACCTCCTTTTATTCCTCTTCTTCTTCTGAGGTCCCCAAAATCCAGTGGTCCTATATTACTGGGTATTTATCGAAAGAATACAAAAACACTAATTCAAAGAAATACATGCATGCCTATGTTTATTGCAGAGTTATTTACAATAGCCAAATTATGGAAGCAACCTAAATGTCCATCAGTAGGTGAATGGATAAAAATGTGGTGTGTGTGTGTGTGTGTGTGTGTGTGTGTGTATAGATACATACATACATGTATGTATGTATATGTATGTATGTGTATGTATGTATTTATGTATGTATATTCTCTTCTATATATATGATGAATAATGAATAATATTCAGCCATAAACAAGAATAAAACCTTTCAATGTGCCACAACATGGGTGGCACTAGAGAAAATAATGCAAAGCAAAATAAACTAGTCAGAAAAAGACAAGTACCATATGATTTCAGTCATATGTGGAGTTTAAGAAACAAATCAAATGAATAAAGAAAACAAAGAGACAAACTGCAAAACCAGCTCTTAAGTATAGAGAACAAACAGATGGTTACCAGAGAGGAGGGGATGGGGATGGGTAAAATCGGTGAGGTGATTAAGAATACACTTGTGTGATGAGCACTGAGTAATGTATGGAATTGTTGAACTGCTATATAGCACACCTAAAATTAATAGAACACTGTATGTTAACCACACTGGAATTAAAATTTAAAATAAAATCTATAGAGGCACCAAAAAATAGAAAATATGACCTTTCACAAAACATGGGAAATCAATTAACATAAAACCACAATATTAAAGTTAAAAAAGTAATTAATACATTATTATTGTACAATATACTGTTTATAATATGGTGATTAATTATTAGGCTGATGTTTTGGGGTTGAAAATCTTAGTTGATGGATCACTAATATTGTTTCATCTAAAAATACTGCAACAGGGGAGGCTTGGTGGCTCAGTTGGTTAAGCGTCCGACTTCAACACAGGTCATAATCTCATGATTCGTGGGTTCGAGCCCCAAGTCGGGCTGTGTGCTGATAGCTAGCTCAGAGCCTGGAGCCTGCTTCAGATTCGGTTTCTCCCTCTCTCTCTGCCCCTCCTCTGCTCACGCTGTCTCTCTGTCTCTCTCTCAGAAATAAATAAAACATTAAAAATAAATTCAAAAAAAAAGAAATAAAAATACTGCAACATAGTAAGAAAGAAAATGAAAAACAAAAACAAAAACAAAACAAAACAAAAAAAACCCTACTAGTGCTCCAGTCTGTCTTTTGTCATCAGTTTAGAGACCACTTAAAGGCTGAGCAGCTGACCTTCTGCATGTCTTCTACTTTTGAATCTTTCACAGTGCTATCTTTAACCCTTATCTTTTCTTCACTCCTGTTAATATCTCTCCGTCTATCCATTCACTGACAATACATCCCAGGGGGAAATAATGAGTAAGGAATAAGGGAAAGTAGCCATTAAACCATTGAATTTTAGTATGCATAACGTTTATAATTAGTTTTATTACTTTTTAAGACACCAAAGTGTTGTCCACTTACCTGTTCTCTTCTCTATCTCTTTTTTCTGTGCATTTTACAGAAAAAAAAAAAAACCCCACAAACACATAGATGGTCCTAGGGGGTAGTTTTTGTGGAGACAAAGGAACACTGCCTCCGAATATGAAGTTCCATTGCTAGGAACAAAACTAGGAACTGTCGTCAGTATCCACTGGGAATTTTTCAGAGAAGAAAATCCCATTTCAATCTTATAAAACTAAATTACATAAATACCTGGTAGATATGAAAATTGGCTAGGCACTGTAAAGACCAACCTGTTCCATATACCTTCTGTTTACTCCACCAATTTTTCTGTGTAAATCTCTTATAATTAGTTATTAAAAATTTAATAATGAATCTTTAACATTTTATAAAGAGTAAAAGGGATAAAAGGGAAAAAATCATGCTGAAGGCTCCAAAGGGAAATAGGAAAAATGTAAGAAAACTGACTAGCCATCTCAGTAGTGTATATATAAGAAGGTATTGTTATTAGGAAACAGAATCAGTAATCCATAAGAAAAGAATTATAAGCCTTTAGGGAAAATGCTATAACGAAACAGATAATGGAGGTAATAATGAAATTTTAAAAGCAGCAACCAAATGAAATCCACACAGCCAGCAGAAAACAGATTTGACACCGAAGAATCGTATCAGTAATGTGGAAGACAAACATGATAAGCTCTCCTCAAATGCTGAATGAGGGTGAAAAAAGTTCAGAATGATGGGAGAGAAGATGTTAGATATCCAGGGCACAGGACTGGGCACTACCAAATAATTTGGAGTGTTCTTAGGGATGAACTCATGCAAAAGCTTGAAAGAAAACAGTAAAAACTTAGGCAGCTTTGGTGATCTTTTTTCGTTTCCATGCTGAAATCAGGCTAACCTTAACACTTCTCTGCAGAAGCCCATAGGATAACATGTACTGATTTTTGAACAGAAAAGACTATGGCCTCATGTTATTATATAGGGCTGGGTTATAAATATTTTATGAATGAAGGCAATAGAAATGACATAAATATGCAGCAGCTCAAAAAAAGCCACTCACAAAGCTTTCTTGAAAAATTTACATGAAGATATATGCCATCCAACTGAGAAAGTAATTTAATTAAGAATTATACTGGGGCACCTGGGTGGCTCAGTCGGTTGAACATCCAACTTTGGCTCAGGTCATGATCTCATGGTTCATGGGTTTGAGCTCCGTGTCAGGCTCTGGGCAGACAACTCAGAGCCTGGAGCCTACTTTGGATTCTATGTCACCCTCTCTCTCTCCCCTCCCTACTCACACTCTGTCTCTCTAAAAATGAATAAACATTAAAAAAAAATATATTTATAGTGTACTATAAATTGATATAATATAAAATTATATTATAAAATATATATGATATAGCATAATATAATAAATAAAGAATGTAAGAGTGGGCCTTGTACTGCAAAAAGAATTTCTAACATTTCTCTTGGTTGGAT